TAAAACAATTCCCTTCAGAGCAAGACTATAGGGGCCGGTTGTACGAAGCCTATAAACCCATTGCACTGATGTCATAAATCCTTAAAGTGTCCTCCAAATGCTCCCTAACACTATTTGTTCGGGTACAAAAACCACATATAGCTAAAAATTGACCATTTTAATACAAAATAATTATAAAGTTTTACAAAAATTGCTTTGTTACAAAAGTTAGATTATGCATAGATTGCTAATTTGTCCTCCAGATGCATCATCATAGGCACTGTGACGTCATGTGCAAGGGGCCATTAAAACGAAGGCCGGGTTGTGCTATCCACCGGATAGTGATTTTTTAAGCTTTGTAAAATCAGTCGTTGATTGGTATAACTCGTATTAAAGTTTAGTGTTTATAAATTAAATGTTTTTTATACTTCTTGTGACTAAGATCACTCTTCGTGGATATTGCGTGTGTTACTATGGTTACCGAAAATTCACACGCAACATCCACGTAAATACGAAGCGTGCGAAATTTTGGTTTTTGGCTTTTTTGTGAGGCAGTATAAACTGACAGTAAGTTTTTTCCGAAAAAAAAGCTTTAAAATTTGTTCAAGTTTTTTGAACACACACTGTATCTTTGAACGAAAAATAATTACACTACTATTTGTAGAATATATATATTTTGGGCAAAAATAACTTCATTTACTTCGAGTTTGTCACAAGAAAAAAGTTTTTCTTGTTTTTTAACAGTTTTTTTTGTTGTTCTTTACAGGTATTTCAAATAATTTGGCGGAAAGGTACGACTATATTTTAAAATTATTTTTAGTATGCTTCTTAGCTGATGTTAAACAGCCTTTGCTTCAAGGCCAAAAACATTCCTGTTCAATATCAAGATAAAAATTTATTCAATATTTGTTTAATATGCACTGGGAGTGGAGATGTTGTATTTTATTAATGATATCCTTTAATTTTTTTTTATAATTATAGCAAAAATTTAACAAACACAAAAGTAAGTTGCTCCAATTTTTTGAATAAGCGAATAAAACCATATTGAACATATAGGTACAGCTTGGACTTATAAACTTGGCTATTTCATAACTAATCCCTATATTATAACTGTTTCATTTTAGTGGAATTACCGGAACTGGACGATCCTGCTATTCTTGGTATGTACATTACAATAAATATGCGGTATATAATATCTACTTTTTGGTTTTACATAAAGCAACATTTGTTCTAGCTGGTTGGACCTCACATAAAATTAAATGGACTTACAACTAATAGTAAATACTAGGTGTGAACAGAGGCCAGTTGTGACCAATTGTTTGCTTACAGTTGTACAGAGGTATATTTGTGACCTCAAGGTATATTTGTGAGCTCGAGGTATATTTTTGTGACCAATATTCCAGTGACCATGCAAAGGTAAAGTTGTGACCAATTGGTTTTTCGAAAACCCTCTTGGCCGGCCACAATGAAATATTCTCTCATGTAAACATGTTAAAATTCAACCCAATTACCAAGTGAGTACAATACATTGTAGTTGTAGATTGCCCTCTCCTGCAGTAGCTATACAATGTAATAAAGTGTATATACTGTACTGACAATTTCATTTTACAGAGCATCGTTATAACATTATACGGGTTACCAATTTGCAATATCATGCATGTGACACAGTAACTTCATCCTTAACCTTCTAACACAACATCTTTTATTTTAGATGTCCATGTTGATGATGGTAAGAATTAGTATTAATCTTTTAGTCAAATTTCCTTTTGGCTTTGGGAGTGCCAAAGGATATATTTTCTTGACATAAATCAGCAGATAGCCCGCTTCATACAGACAGACTTTATACATGAAACTACAGTATCGTGATCATACATGGCCATGTTCTATAGATACAGTAATTGCTCTGTAAATATACTTTATTCGTTCATTAATTATAAGATAAAAATTACAAATGTGTAAATTTATGACTGTACCTTGTGGCTTGTCTTCGCAATGCTATACCAATAATAGCTATACAAGTATGAAATTCCACCCTCTGTTTCTTAAAATTTGCCAATAAAGTGTTTGTCATACAAGTTCAAGTCAGTAATATTAATAATGTCACAGGCAATTTCATGCTGACTTAACTGCCATAACTCCGTGGTTAGAAATACCGTCGCTTGCAACTAACGGTGAACAGTTGCAGATAACACATTGTCTATTCTCATCACAAAGTTCGATGTTCTTACTGAAAAAGTTCAACGTTTGTGATGATCACTTCATGGTTTCAAAGCCAATCAAGCTTGTAGCTGCTTGAACGTTATTGGCTGATCAAATGAAAACATGTCAACTAAGTGTTGTTGCTCAATTGACAATTAGTGTAACATTGAAGATTCTCACGCAAATATATATAATTTTTTATGAGCAACCGTTCATCGTTAGATGCAAGCGACGGTACAGCATTGATACTATCAACATTTTTCCGACTGTGTCCGAATGTCCAACGATCATTGAAAGATGTTATAAATTCCTAAAGACTAAATTTTAGTTCGTTTATAGTAAACCCGCTCGGTACTCACAATGATTAATGTAGAAATACATGCAGTTTAATAAGAGGAAATGAACTGATTCTGAAATATGTAAATTTAGAAGCATTGACTTACTGTATAAAGCGATGTGAAGACAAGGTAACTTTTACTGCTATCTGCTATCATTAAATCTACAAATAAGCCAATTTTGCATATCTGTGACTGCATGTTTATTTTTTTACAGTATAAAAATGAAATTGTAATACTAGCCGTGATATGAATTAAATTCATTTCTGTTTATTGTTATTTACTGTCTACCATTTACTGTTTATTGCTATTTATTCTAGCAATTGCACTGTCATGCTGTTTGGAATAAACCATTTCATAGTAGCAATATGAAAAGTTTTTCTTTTTCAATGACTTTTAATGCATCAGTCAAATCTAAGCGTGGCCCAACCCCTCCCAATCCAGGGCTATTTTCCTGTAAAGCATGTCTGGGGCTTGAATAAACCTTTGCCGGGGGTGGGGCATTTGAAATTAAGGATTTGGAAGTTTTAAAATCATCGAGTACTTGTGCTTAAGCAGAAAAAAACAATGGACATTGACTTCTGTCTGGTATGCTGTGAGTGAGACATTGACATTTCTTCCCCCATGGTAGGGACGCTGAGGAAGTACATACAGAGATCTCACTTCAGGTTAATTTTGCGTAAGGGATTTTTTCAGTCCGCCATGTTCTTAACAAGTGCCTTAAAGAGAGGCAGTCACACCACCCCCCCCTGAAAACATATTGAAAATTTAATATTCTAGGGGGTTGAATGCCTCTCTTTAGGGCACTTGCTAAGAACATGGCCGCCAGCTATTTTGGCAAAAAGCGCCTTATGGTTTTGTAATGGAAGTTACACTTCTGTATGTCTTTAGTCTGTGGTAGGGAATTTACCACATATGCCTGACCATGCATAGGCCTGTGACTTAACTTTCATTTGTGAAAAATTAAAATTAATGGTTTTTTATTTTCATTATACAATTTTGAATAAAAAATATGTTGTGCAACCAGAATTACTGCTGATACTTCATTTTTGAAAGATATAGTGGTTTGGTTAGCAAGGCGAGGGATCACTGCATGCATGTATTTCTAGTAGATATATACCCTAAAACTAGCCTGTGCACAGACGTACATAATGGCATATATAGTGCGTGAATCTGTGGCATGAAGCTTGTATGGTCACGTGAATTTCCCGAGAAAAGTCGGGGCAAATTGTGATTGGTTGAACTATAATTATGCAGAATTAATGTTAATTCATTGGACATTGTGTTCGCAACGCACATTGGACTGTCAAAATTGACCGTTTCCAGGGTCAAATGACAAGGTTTATTGCAGTTGTATTTATAGAAGTGTGGCGGATAAACAAGAAAGGCCGTTGTTTTCAAAATGGAAAGCCCATTTCGCCAAACACAAAATGTAATATTATAGACGAAATCAAATTTAAGGGAGGCAATAAAGATACAGGTATTTTCATGGGGAGTTTTGTTGATTTATATAGTGAATAGGTTTGAAGTCCCGAATGGTTGCAAAATCTTGAATAGCTGTAATACCTGTATCTTTATTGCCTCCCTTAAATTTGATTTCATCTATAATATTACATCTTGTGTTTGGCGAAATGGGCTTTCCGTTTTGAAAACAATGGCCTTTCTTGTTTATCTGCCACACTCTTATAAATACAATTGTAATAAACATTGTCATTTGACCCTTTGAACAGCACAACACGCGTTGAGAATGCAATGTCCGATGAATTAACATTAATTCTGCATAATTATAGTTCAACCAATCACAATTCGTCCCAACTTTTCTCGGGAAATTCACATGACCATACAAGCTTCATGCCACAGATTCGTAGACTATATATGCCATATAGACTGCGTGCAGGCTATAAAACACATGATGCTGTTGAAAGTGATACCCAAACTATAACCTAAGATCATATTAATTTGTGTTTCAGACTACCAGTATGCTATCAAGAGAATGTTGTGTGTGATTAACTGCATATAAAGGGATGTTGAGAATCAAGGTAACCATTGGTTTAGTCATAGTATAAAAAATATAATTCAAATCTATTGATTGTACTCTAATACCAATAATCTAATGTTTTTTTTCTGTGTAATAAACTAACAATGATTATAATGCATACCAATGTGCTACATCACATTGGCAGTCACATCGACTAACTAGCGGATAATCATTTATGATGTAAATTTGATTTTGAATATGATTTTGGAAGATTTTATTTACCTGCAAATAGTACAGTTGGCGAGTCCACATTTCTTCACTTGGAAGCAGTAATGCCCCTCTATGCAGCAATGACACAGAAATTTAGACAGTTTATCAAACTTCTTCACATCTTTGGCAGTCAGGTGATCTCTCTGTAAGGCAAAAAAATTACATTAACTGTAGATGCATTAAATGATTGTTATGTTTAGGAAATCGAATAATGTACTGTACAATATTGAAAATGCAATTCAATACAGTACATCTAATTCTCCTTCTATCTTTAGACAATTCTTCCAAAGCTCGTTGATGTTGGCATCTTCAGCTGCTGAAAATGTATTGAATTGTCTGTCTTTCAAGCTGAGTCTTTTCATCTGGCAATTTAACATGTCTGTAGGAGTTTCTACTGAATCATGCCACTCTTGTTTGAGATTATCAGTTGCCAACTTTACCCTGACTTCCTTCATGTTATTAGCTTTAGCTATATAGAAAAAGTAAATATTGTAATATTTACAGAGCAAAAACAATATATAATTATATATGTGGAAATAGTATTATGTTGTCCTGCCTGACATGCCAAATATATAGAGGTACAAAATACAGCGAATGGAAATTCACTCACTAATAACTTTCTCAAAGTCATCGCTTCCTTTCTTTCTCATAATGCCAATGCCTTGAAGCCCAATGTTGACAATGCTCATAATATGTTCTACCGGATTTGCCCAGGAATTGCTTGGGGCAGTTCGCAGTGCAACCAATGCATCCAAATCTAGCTCAATGAACAAAGCTATCATAGACAGCTTCACAGACATGTATGTGCTACAATGATCAGGACCACCATCTGTATATATCAGCAGTATTGGAGGTACATCTGAAAGACAAAATACTTGCTTTGGTAATGTCTAGAAGTATAATTTTCTGTAGATAAAAATCATCTAGTTATGTTCCTGCCAATCAATCAGGAAAGAATACTATCAACTACTGTATTTAATACCTCCACGCAATTTCAAAATCTCTTTCAGCTCACACGCATGCCCTAAAGAAGATGAAGGTTGGAACACACTGTCTTTGATCCCAAAATATACATCACCACGGTAAAAGCTACCAAGAATGCTGTCTGGAATGTCGATCTGGAAGGTAACAAATATAGCAAAACTCTAGTGTTCGAGACAAGTTGCAGTACATATAATGTAAATACCACATAGAAATCATATTGCTCTGCTGTAGTTTGGTGACATGGTACACATCTTAAATCCAAGCAGCTTGCTTCAAGACAAAGCTTAGTTCCTGATTTTAGATTTGACACAAATATTAGCTTACCAGTAAGTTCAGAGAAGGTGTTAAAGTAGCTTTAGAGAAATCATGATCCCCCACAGACATGACTTGGTTGGGTCCGGCAATCACTTGCTTCCCACGCTCTGCTGGTGCCAGTGGGTATGATGGTTCCCCCACCTTAACTTTATGCTTGTCATCCATTGACACAAGAGTAACAAGCTCTCTTTGCTGCACAGCAAATTCTCACATATATCGCCATGCAGCAGCACAGTAGTGGGCATCAACATGGTTTGCACGAATCTATATAAACAAAAAATGTTAAAACACATGAAATTATAAGTTTGTGTAACACCCTATTCACACACACCGCAACTCAGTATTCCAGTAAAGTTAAGTAACAACACACTTTTTGGCATTATTTAATAGTTATTAAATATGATTAAATAGGTATGAAGCTCACCTGTCTTTTCTGGACCATCATTTTTACGTTCATCTTGCCCTTGTAATACTTAGCTGTATTTGTTTGTGGGTTTAGTGGCTGGAACTGGTATCTCAACCACTTTACAGAAGGTATATTTGACCCCTCAGGAACTCTTTCCTTCACACGCTGATGCAAATCCTTTAAACTGACAGCTTTTACTGGGTACAACTGCTGACCAGGTCTTCACTTATGACAAGCAACACCAACATCCTCAGATAGATAGCGTTCTGTCTCTGCAAAGAAATCATGGTATGAATCCTTCGTAGTTGGAGATAGCCCTAAGTGCAACAGATTCACCAACAAACAAACCCAAAGGACTCCATAAATCTCTTTTTAGTAATGCGCCTTTCGTACACAGGGACTTCCGATTCAATTTTACATAATGTCCAAATAAAGTGCAAACTTGGCTTATTTCCACCTACATGGTGAACATAGTGTACACACTTTTGTGACAAGCCATTATCACAAATCTCTTCAACTAAGTAATGAACTCTGCGGCGGTTACATGTAGGTAGAAACTCCCGTACACAAACTGGAACAAATTGTTCTGCTTTTGAAAGCTCTTTATCAAGGTCCAATAAACCATGATGGACAGTACCTCTTGTTGCATTCACAACTTTCACATTGGTCTTCACCTCTAACTCACTGCATGGTGTAGCTGCTGCCAGCTTCGTCCTGTTACTTTGATTTCTAAGGCGAAGGCAATAGGCTTCCAAGACTTCAACAAGGCTGAGTATTTGTGTTTTCACTTCAGCCCAAAGCATTTCATTCAAGTATTGTTGCCCTTGAATTACTTCACACATCTGAATTGTGTACTTCTCTAACTTCTGCTCAGAGAGATTGCTGAGATTTCTTTTCCTATGTTTGTGTTTTTCAGGACAGTTTAAACCAGAAAACCGTGTTTTAAAGACTGTGGGTACCTTTGTTGACATGGATATAACAGACTCAATCTTATTGTAGAGACCATCGACATAATAGAGCAAGTCAACCAACTTGGAGACAAAGGAGGTGGCTCGAACCCCCGCATTCATTGGAAAATTGCATTCTTTCTCTTCAAAGAACCTGAGTACTTCGTTATTTAGTTTTTCCATGCTTGTTTTTGGATCTTTTAGCATAGTTGGCAAGTCCTTTCCCACAGCATCTCTAGCTGCTGTCATCAAAACAGTAAAGGCATTAACTGGCTGTGAAGAACCCTGATTAGGAAAACATGTGGCCCATAAGTGTTCTATAATTAGTTTGAAGAAATGCAACCCAAATTGGTCAATCACCTGAATGATATCTGTATCAGAAGTTCCACACACACATTCACTCATGGCTAAAGTTGAAGATGCTGTGATTTCTTTCAGATTGTACATTTTGCAAGAAAGGTCTAAATTAAAAGTTGGTGTGAGAGGACCATTGAGAATGTCTCTGCAAAGCTGATCATACGTATACCACTCATTGTGTAAAGTTACAAATGTCCAGGATTTTACAGTCTTCCCATCCTCTTTGCATATGCAAATTGCCACTTGTTTTGGCATGCTTGCAATTCTGGCAAGCTAACCTTGGTTTACCTTGCATATGAACCCCCCCCCCAAAAAAAAACATGTATATTAAAACAGGGGAGCCAAGGCCAATCATCATTTAATATTAATAGAACAATTATATTGTTTGGTATAATTTGTAGCCATATTTTTTGTATATATATTGATTAAATACTGTATGTTATGGTGCAGGTGTATACATGTAATTTATGTAAATCATTGAAATACTAATTAGCCTGCCAATTTAGTCACATGACTGGCACATTTTTGTTCAGCATCTGTGCTCAATGTGCACGCAGCATGCACCGAATTGAAATATATTCAGACATTCATTTTATACGTCAGTGTCGATAATATAATATATTAAATAAAGTCCATTTAATATGTGACTATAAAATACAGACATTTGGAAGATCAAAAAGTTGGTTTTAGTATAAAATACAAAAGCTTTTATACTTAAAATTTTTTTCAACTTATTTTGAATAAAATAATTTATACATATTAAACTATGCAAATCGATTTAGATTTTAATAAAACATATGACACTTACCACTTGGTTGCCTTGGTATTTAGCATCACTTGCACTTGTAACTTCGTTATTAAAACTTTAAAACTAGCCCCAACTGATTATTAAATTTTAATATTAAAAAATATATTAAAAAGCATACTCAGAGAACTGAGGCCGCAAATATGAGACTTTCATTCCCATTGCCTAACCCCAGTGACGAAGGTTCCTAATCAACATCAAAAGGCGGAAATTCTGGTAATGAAGTAGGCATACTTCCTTTGCACAAAATAAATCACTTGTCTCCAATTTAATACTGCATAAACTTTATATAAAACTCCTACTTTAATACATGTTACATGTGCTCTCCACCATCTTGCTTTCTTCCCCTTTCCTTGTCCCTTTGTTATCCCTCACTATCCACATCTAACTGTATTGTCAATCTGTATCCTTATTAACACCTGGACATTACAAAGAGCATGACAATTTCAAAGAAAAAAACTAAGTTTAATTTGAAGTGTATAGTAGATGGAAATTGTCAAGTGGGAATTTGCAATAAATGTATATAAATTTCCACTTGATGATTTCCATCTACTACACCCATCAAATACTATTAATTCGAGTGAGATGATGGTTGTCGTTGTTGACGAGAGTTAAGGCCAGCTTTAAATTGATCAAAGTCTTTTGGAGTGGAGAAGGAAAATACTTGGGAAGAAGGAATGGCATCTTTCTTTAAAAAGACTTTTCCATACTTCGTCCAGACGTATTTGTAACGATTCTCACGTTTTTACTCTTTAACTTTCCATAACAATTCACGAGATTTTTGCGTCAGGCTTTCGTTGATATAGATACGATGTTCTTCAAGAAATCCAAGGTCAGCTGTAGATTTTGTCGACAGGTTACGCCTCATGTAATAAATTTTATCTCTTATGTCTCTACGGACAAATTTAACGATAATGGGAGGAATTTGACCCTGGCGCGAGGATAAACGATGACTGATTGAAATTTCGTTTTGGTTGAATGCCATTGAATGGTTGGCGAGCTTAACAACCTTTAATATAATTTCGTTCGTATTTTCGCCTTCAGTGACTGGAATGCCGTGGATTTCCAGCATGTCCCTTCGGATATATTGTTTTAAGTTTTCTATTTCGCCTTCGGAAACATCAGTTTTCTCCTCTAGCAGCTTTACTTTTTCGATTAACTGCAGATTACTTGTACGTAATTCGACGTTTTCGGCTCGAAGCTCACTCACAGAAGTGGCCAAAACATCAAATTTAGAGCCTAGACAGTGCTGGCTTTGTTTAATTCCATCCAAGTCATTTTTGGTCAATCTCGAGAATGTTGAGAATAAGTCATTCAGCTGGTCAAACTGTTTTTTAAGGCGACTGTCCAATATTGTTTCGAGTGTAGCTTTCTCGTTCGGTGATGTCGCACTTTCAGCCATGCTTTCACCATCAGAATTTTCATGTTTTGACGTATTCCTGTTCTTCTTAGGCGGCATTTGATTTTACAAATGCTAAACTAAAGCTTCCACTAGATTAAACTATCGTGACTATGCTGTCTATATGACTGAGCGGAGCATGAAAGCATGCGTCCAAAAGCATGGGTTCAAATCCCTTACTCGGCGACATGCCGTATAGTTGAGGTTGTGGATACACACACACACATATATATATTTTATGAGTAACACAGATTTTTTTACCAAAAAAAATAAATTTATTGAAGTATCACGGTCTGTACAGGTTTTTCATTAAGTATATTTCTAAATGTTTGATATACGTTTCTAGCAGCTCTTGCTTCTTTGTATTCGTGTTGGGAGATTTTCATGACAAGGTTCTTGATTATCTTTGATTCCCCAGCGTTTGTCTAAAAAACAAAAAACAGTTTATAAATTTGCGAGAAAAGACAAGGTTAAAAAGTAAAAAAAAAATTTTTACCGTATATTTTCATATAATTTCCTGGATAAAAAAGAAACATGACAGTAGGTTGTGTTACGGCGGGAACTTGTATATGGATGTACAAGAAATCATCATCGTCGGGTAAAAGAGCATCCATATATTGCAACAGAATAACCTTGTATGTGTTGGGCGTGTTGTTAAAATAAAACAATTCGTGATAGTGTTCAATCGCATGATAGTTATAGAGATTCATACTACAACCAAATGCGCTTTTGATACCAATTGTATTATATTTTTCACAGCAACGATCACAAGCGCATGCCAAATGTGCGAAACTTGCTACAGCCAAAATTTTTTTTGAGCCTGAGTATTTAAATTTGCTCTTAAATAAAACGTTGGCTTAAATTTTTGGGTATGACCGTATTTGGAATGTATGTTGTTTTTCATATATTTTTGAGGATTTTATTTGTTGTTGGTTAGTAGGAGAAATGTATCGTTCATTACTAGGAGCACGTTTGGAAAAAATGTTTGGAAAACCTTTGCCAGATATGTTATATCATACAAGAGAAGGGATTGCTTCACACCCACGTAAACAACCCCGAATACAACAACAACAACAACAACAATACCCTCCAGAAATATTAAAGTTAATTTATGGCAAATAAATGAAGAACCTTGTATAAAAAGAAAAAAAATGCAAGAAAGGGTTTTAAACGTCAAAAAGGGGGGTTTGGACCTGCAGCAGCCATATAGGAATGGCTTTACCTATGTTATTAAATACGGGTACAAGTGTAGTGGGTAGTATATTTGGTAAAAAAACAAGGCAAAAAAACCGGCACAAAAAACCACCACGTAGATCATATCGTCGACGACGTAGACCACGTTATGATTATGATTATTAAAATGTTTGTAAAATTTTTTAACAATAAATTTTTTAAAAAATAAAAATGTTTTATTTGTGTGTTTCTTATCTTAAATAGCAGTGTTTTTTAGTAAATAATTGCAATTATCAACTGATCATCGTCAAGATGAAACGTGCAAGAACATCTTCCGATGCGGGACCTGTAGAAGAACATGGTAGCGGTTTTGTGGCACCTATGACATTATTTGATATGTTTCCTCATAATGATACATTTGAGGGAACACATAGCTTACAGTTGTTAGCTAACCCAACTGCCAATAATGCTGAAATTTACACGTTTATACATAACCGTCAGGATTATGGTGTTATGGATACTGGTGATGCAAAATTATCTGGAAAATTGCGGTTGCATGTCACACAAGGGGGTGCCGAACCTGCTAACGGTGATAATTTTTGTGTAAATAGGCGACCGTTCAAATATGGGTGGAAAACCAAAGCAGTATATTTAAATAATCAATTAATTACACCGCAATCAAGTAAAGAAAATGAATTGGAATATGTTCATGATTTGCTAACCACTGAACCCAGTGATTGGGCAGATGATACAGATATTACTTTAGGCACATGTGATACACCCGGGCAATTTGACACAATAGCTAATTCACATGATGGTGCTGCCGGTAATGTAAATGTGAGGGCACGGGCACGATATGTGCTATTGAGTCAGGCTTTGGAATTTCAATGTATTGATAATATTGATTTGTTGGGGCATAATAAACGTTATGTTCCCGCCTCGTTTGATATGAAAGTGGTTCTAACGCGATTGGAAAAAACCAAAATGTTGCTGGGAACGGCCACAACAGCTGCAACGATAGATCTTTGTTATAATGATTTTGAATTAAAAGTACCCATTTTAAAACCCACTGTGCAATTAAGTGCTGCAATTAATGAATTGATGATTCAAAAAGTTGAGGAGTGTCGTGAATTAGTTGAAAGTGAAATAACGGGAAATGAATTGCCTGAAAATGAATTAATGGGATATGATGATGATGAGATTGTTGATGAAAATGTAAAAAATAAAAATCCAACAGAAAATATTTCTACCGATTCATTATATAATGTTCAAAAAAATGAGGGTGACGAGATTAACGAAATTGATGATGATGATGTAAATTCCGCAGGATTAGACGAACGAACAATACAGACATTTTTAGAACAATTAATTCAATTACAAAATCAAACGATTATTAGAAAAAAAGAAAGCCGTCCTTATACCTAGCGTAAATAATTTTTTAAAATTAGATTTAGAACAAAAAGGTGAACAAATTTCGCCTTCTAGTACACGACATTTATTACATATTTGCGAGTTAATTGAACGTAAAAAAATTGATATCGCCGTTGATAATGGCGATAGAAATGTTATGGAATATATTATTACAAAAGGTTGCCCTGCTAAAGATATAAGATTTACGTTTGTTGAAGATATGTGCATTCACGGGTATATCCGTAAAGCAGTTCAACACCTACAAGCAATAAAAAAACAACATTCGAAATATGGGGGACGAAGTCAAACGGTTAGCATTAATAGACGCAGGAAAATTTAATACACTCATGGAAATGTTAACTGAGAATCGTAATAGACAAAAACTATTGAACAATGCAAAACGTAGTGCTGAAGACGCGGGTCTTATTGAAAGTTGTGCAACTGTTTTAAAATCTGTTAAAAATAAATCCTCAACTGCGGGTAATGACGTTATTAATTTTCTAAAAAAAACTGATAATTATCGACAATCTGTGGGGTTAGATAATGAAGATGATAATAATAATAATGAAAAACCAATTGTCACACCCGCACCACCGCCCGCAACTGCGGGACCCGCAGGTGCAAACTACAAACCAGGTACAGTGGCGGCTTCTACAGCAAAAATTGAAGAGCATTCTCGTACAAATGGTGTAAAACCTTCTGCAAATGGTGTTCAATTTAATGGTGGAATGATCGGTGTTTCTTAAAACGATATGTTAGAAGATTTAACACGAAATTATGTTCAAACACAACCCAATCAAGATGCTACCAAAAGACATAAGGTATTATTATTATTACGAAAGACAAATATGCCTGTTTCCTTTATAAGAAACAAAAATATAAAAGAAGAATATAAAACACTATTACATCAAGGAAGTATGATACCCATAAAACCCTTAGCAAGATGTCGATTACCTACAGCAACACCACCCCCCGAAAAAGAAACACCAAAACGACTGAGACGACCCAGAGACTATCTTCAGCGGAAATAAAAGAGTTATGGTTTCTTTAACATGTTTTGTAAGCAAATTTTTAGATACAGACGATATTGATAAGTTTGCAAACGAAAATCCTATTATCAGACCTTACTATTTGGGGTGTTACCCTGCAGATGTACGTCCAAAAGGTGTTGTGTTAAAGATAAATGTTGTTGGGTGTGGAATACGGATGAAAAAAATAAACCCGGTGTTCACTGGATTTGTGTTGTAAAGGACAACAAAAATATTACATTTTTTGATAGTTTTGGTAAAACACCGATTTTTTCGGACGAAAATATTGGCTAGATTACTTTCGTAGTTTACGATGTCACTTTACAGTATTTATGCAAATAGCACGTCAATCATTTATTAGCAAAACATGTGGGGTGTGGTGCTTATTATTCTTATATAGTTTTTATAGCCAAGATGATATTTTTTATCTTTTTTCTGTTAAACAAAACGAACTTTTAAAGAATGAAGAAAAACTACAATTATTAGCCTATGAACGATTTCCCAATATGAAGAATGTGTATAAACGTAAATGTAATAAGGCCAAGGGTCAAATTTGTAAATCATACTTAGAAGCATTTCAACAATATATGTAATCTTTTAATTTTTTAATAAATATTTACACAAATTGTTTTTCTAAATCATAGAAAATTGTTGTGTGTTCGAATACGAGTATTAGCTGGCGTATGTGGACAACCATCAAACAATAGATAACCGTATTGTTTCTTTCCAATATCGCCTAATACTTTTCGTAAAACGGGTAATCGAATACCTTTATTTCGAGCAATCAATTCAATATCTCGAGTGTCTGTATGGCTATTGAAAACAAGATGATACATGCTATTTATACGCATATTTCGTAATTTCCCGTTTCCGAAGTTTAAATTTTGACATACAAAAAAAACAGAGATATTTAAATGATGGCTATCACACGATGCTAGGTTGTTTAAATTATCTGTATATTCTTTACTAGACATTGCCAAAACCATTAGATCGTCCAAAACCAGCAATGTAGCATTGCCAAGTAACGGCTTTATTTCCTCTATAGTGGGTATACCCAAACACGTACAGTCATAAAATTCACACCCCTTAAGCGATGATGTTACGTATTTGTCAGCAATGATTTCCTTAATTTTTTCATATCCCTTTTGTTCTGCAGTGTATAAGTATAGTAGTTTGTCTGGTGTAGGTTTTATGAGTTTGTCAATGTTGTCAATTATTTCGATCATCTTGTGTGTTTTACCCGATTGTGTCGGTCCGCATATGCTCATCATAAAAGGGTGGATTTATGTAAATCTGCATAAAATTCTTCGGGTATATAACCGTTGTTGAATGTTTTACACGGTTTTATTTCATTCTAAAAAAAATTTAAATAATTTACTTATAACCGAAAGGTGTAGTTGTAAAATCTGCATGCACAATACGTTTATCGAAAGTAAATTAAAATTTTTTGACATTTTTTTTCACCGCAATACTCTGGCTGGGTTCACGCACAAATTCACGATATGTTATCTCGATTTCTTTTTTATGATCCCTTACATATTCGTTAATGCTGTTGAATGTTAACAATTCTTTCGCATCCCCTTTCAGAGAAAAACCCTTCACGTGCACTACCTCATCCCTCTGCATTTTTTCAGTTCCGTCTTTTAAATAACGTGTATATTCATTGGTACGATAAGAATATGATTTTGGGCCTGCCGAACAAAATTGTTCTATCCATTTCTTACTAGTGTTCTTTTCAAGTAATTCATGCGTCATTTCACCCAAATAACCGCCGGCTTCAACACATTTACCGTTTGCTCGATCCTCGATAAAAATTACAGAATCGGTATCGTAATATAAAACATTTTCCCCTAATTTATGCAAATATTTAAATAACTCTAAACATGTGTATGCTGTTACAAACGACGCAATAATTACATTACGGTTGGGTAAAGGTGTTAAACTACTCCCTTTTCTATGTGTTGTTTGAGCAATATCATCACTAATAAAATCTAACGATGTTACTTCCACGCTGTGGTCATTTACCAAATCTAACAGCTCATCCATACTGTCCAAAAACGAAACCACGGTAGTGTTCTCATTTTGAGCTAATTTACCCCATAGCGAATTTAAAAGGGCCTTCATTACCATTCTTTGCCCGGGATTATACTCGATTTTTCCCCCTTCCAAAAGCACACCTTCATGTTTCAGATAGTCGTTAATATACTCCTGCATTTTTGTTTTGATTACCGTACCGTCTTCGTTTAAACAATTTGTAGGAATACCGCCGCTTTCCTGCTTAAGTTTCATAAAGGTGTTAACATATTGATCGAATATTTTCTCACGTTTTTCAAAATGGTAAATCTCATAAACCGTAAGGATCCGGTAACCTAATTCAAGGGCTTTTTGAACCTCCACACTTGTCCACGTGCCATATAGCACACGTTCTTCGTCGTTATGGTTACATGTTCTCTGTTGTTTTAAAACACATGTACAGCACAAGGGAAATGTTAATTTTTCCGAACAAAAGGGTAAAACCGGAAATAGTAAATTTGTTGGCGGTAATATTTTGCATTTAACCAAACCAAATACGGAATTTAAGTCAACATCCTTACATGCATCACCACGTAAAACCGTTGGATGTTGTGTCGGATATTCATATATTTTTTGCACATACGGGTAAAGAGAACATACGTCATAATACACGGCAGGTAATTTTCTAATTCTACTATCATAATAAAGCACGGCGGGGGATGTACGACCACCAAAAAGAGCATCGCGTGGTTCCAAATGCAGATGTACAAAGAAAGAATCTAAGCGTAATTGTTTCAAATGATGTTGTGTTATACCGCTTTCATTGCGATAATCACACTCCCATTTTTCAATTACCCTATAACCGGCCTGTCGAAAATACCTTGTTACCCGTTGAGTGCTAGCTTGTAAAACAAAAAATTTCTCGCAAACAACATTGTTGTATGCATCGCTGTTATAACATCTTTCACAACCGTGGTAAAAACATCCGTAAAATTGATAGATTGTTTTCGTTTTATCACAATAACCGTCAACGTAACGCCCCATAATTTGAACTTCCCCACCTACGGCAAGTTTACTAGCAAGCTGCCTATTGTTTTCACCCAATTCCCCTTCAATTTCACGTAACCAACACAGGGCTATAGCACTTTGATTAATATTCTTCCCCCCATAACCGCATGCAGGCATCTGTCTGATTTGTTCTTCTTGTAAAAAATTCCTACGGTATATCTTAAGTGCCAAACCCGCTACAGTATTACATGTACGATCATAAAAGGGTAATATACCTGTAATCTTATAGATCAATCTTGCAAATATAATACAACCCTGTCTAAGAATGTCAACATCTAGACGACAATAATAATAAATTGCCTCGCGAAAAATATACGTCTTACTCTTCTGCTCTTCATACCATTTATCAAAAATGGCTCGTTCCTCACTACCCTCGGGAGGCGGTTCAAAATATTCCAAACCTATCATGGGACCCACATAGTTTAAATTGGTGAAAAGATAGGGGTGAAAACCCTTTGCCACATCCTTAATCCCCAACGCCTCTGGAAATTTACTTAATCTCATGGCAAGAAACAGATAACTATCAATTATTTTTAAATTACGTTCTTCCCATTCCATAGACATGATCTTACTACCGCTCATAACAACCTCGGGAACTATCTTACGCTGAACCAACAATTCACGCAATAAAAAAATACTATCAAAACGACCCCCATTGTGCGCCACCCATACACTATCCTTGGGTTGTTGCATCATAAAATCTACTAATTCCTCTACTATATCCTCATTATTTTTTTCAAACACATATTGCTGATAACCACAACAAACTACGGGTTCCACAGAAATATCAACGTACGGTTCGCTAGGGTAGGGTAAAAAATGCTCGTAGTTTTTCACAAACGGTTTCTCGTCACACGTCGCACACACTTTTTGAACAATGCAATAAAAAGGAGTCATGTAGATGTTGCCTTCGTTTACACGTGGTCCAAAATCGCAAAAATATAACATGGGACGGGTTTCGTTCTGGTGTTCTTTTACCGGTTTAATATAGCAATGATGATTTTTTTTTTCATTTTGTTACAATGCAAACAGAACCTTTTGTCACATTTGTGCGCTGTATATTTTTTACTGGAAATAAGAGTTTTTCGCATCACCGATTTATAACAGGTTGCACAGAAAAAAAACCGCCGACACGGTGTTTCCATCGTTTCTTTACCGTTTATAAAAGTTTTGAATACTTTTTGCAATAAATGATTACAAAAACAATCAGGGTTATAGAAAATAATATCGCATTCGGTACACTGTTGTACAAACCCCGGTGTCCCCACACACTTCGACGTGTTTGAATAGCAACGATAACATGTTAATGATGTAACACATGTGTGTGAATTCTTAGTTTCAAAACGACGATAATAACACATGCAACTAAAACAAAATTTCCCCAAATTCAAACGTGAAAATGTATACGGTGATAGCACAAGATGTTTTTAATTTAACCAAAGAAATATCACATTATTTGTAATGCGATGTAGCCGCTGATTCTCATCTAATCGGGAATCGTAAACAATGGTGTCGTCTTGATTTTTAGAAAAAACAACCAAATCAATGTCGTCCGGTTTTAAATAGTTTTCATAAACCTGTTTAAGTTGATTGATACGAACCGGACCAACGGGTAAACCACTACTCATGTACATGTTTGTAATGTCGTTGTCGGTATATAAGTCGTTTAGTGTTAAGTTACGGTTTCTCTTTAGCTTTCTAGCGTTTGTATCGTCGTGCAAATACGCTTTACCCACTAATAGAGCTAAAGCCAAACAACCATTTTTCACATTTGACTTGCCAATTTGAAAAATAGACGCACTTTGCGACCATGTTTTAACGCCACATCATTTTTTTTACCGCTACCCAATTCCGTAACGTTTTTGCCTAAATACTTATACATTTTACTTTGTTTTTTTTTTCGTTTTCACACGTTGACGTGACGTGTGCGTATTCGGAACAATATACAAACTAACAGTCGTGTGCCAACCATTATTTATAATCTCTTGCGCGTTACTTTGCATATGTTTTTCAAAAATGTTGAAAAACATGTCCGTTGTAAAATCCGACGCATTTAAAACGGCCGTTGAAAAAGGTGTACGTGGGGCATTCAAGATAAAAACTAGGGATCCAAGGATAGTGTGAAGTTTCAATTTGAAAAAGACACTGCAAGAACTATATAGGGTCGCTGACAATCTAGAAAAGCTGATGGCTTACACTACGAAATAAACAGTTACCAAAGGCATTTCATCTCATTATTTATTGCTTTTAATACGCTCAGCACACGAGTAGCGTGACGTTTGAAACAAGCCTAACACACCAGAAACGTG